GTTGATGTCATAAAATATCGAAAAACACTGACGTTTTCCTTTGAGCGCGCACAGAGCACAAGAAAAAAGGAACATGTTTCTGTCTTATGCTTGTGCTTATTTCACTTGTGTTACGCTTATCCCACAAGTGTAAACCAGGCTTTAAGATTTCGTCTTCAGCGCCCGCACGATCGCAAAACCATAGGGAGCCACCTTAAGTCCGCTATTTGAATTGCGCATCCCTTATGCGTACGATTTTCGCGCCATTAGCGCGAGCACATACACAATATCAAGAGATTTCCTTCAAGGTAAGCTCTACGGAGAAATAAATGCTAGCATGGCAACCTATATTGTTTATTACATAATTTTGGTGTAACGGAAAAAAAGGTATAGCTAAAAGCGGACACAAGACCGTTGCTCGAGGATGCAAATTATGAACTTGAAAACAACGACTCGACGAACGTTTTGAGTCGATTTCGTTGAAAATTGTGTGAATGTTCCATTAATTAAATATTACATTGCTCCATATGCTCGAGACTTTCTATCTATCAAGCTTTTTACTTAGTATTTCTCAAAAAAATCTCGCTTCCAGCTACCGCAAAATGTAACTTGAACTGATGAAATAACGCACCGGTGATTAGGCATAAATGGGCTCTTTTGAGAGCATGGTGACCTATCTTTTTTATTGTATTTCTCGAAACAGTGCTTGGTATTCATAGAAAGTTTCAAAAGAATCGTTCGAAAACTTTGATTCCTGAGGAATCACCTTAATAGCTCAATTTTGTAATTCTTTCAGCCCGAACTCCAAATTTGGTAGAAATCAGAAGTAACGAAAATTCCTTAGAGTCATTTGAGTTTTAATTAAAGTCCAGAAGTGACGTACAGTATGAAGTATGTTTCACGGCCTCCTTTTCAAATTACTCACCGGGTTGCTTTTCAAGTCTCTTCATTGAAGAATTGAATTGAGTAGCACGAACTAACAACTGTTTAGGAGTTTATTTATATTACCTTTGTATTTACTTTATTCTCTCCCAATGTACTTACTCTTTACACAAGTCTCTTAAAAAGCTACCATGCTCAATCCAGTGTTTTGATGTTCTCTTGTTTAGAATCARAAACATTTGTAGCCTGATAATCTGTCTAGCAGTTAACTGAATGTTTCTTAAAAGAAAAATTAAGTCAACTGGCATAATTTCCCTTGAATTTCAATCGAACAAATTTAGTTTAGCTTGAAAAATGTCGAGACCCGTTCGCAGTGATAGGCTGTAAGAATGTGTAGCATTTTTTCGTGAAGTTTACAATATAATTTACGAACTGGAAGTTTAAACCCTTCAACTGAGATACTTCACAGTATATACCCCAGATACTCCTCAAGTTTATAGGATGTAAACATGCAAAACAACTACAATAAGTCATATCGGACTTGATGCGAAAAACAAGAAAGCTTTTCAGTTCCAAGTTTGTATTATTCATTTGCTAAACCATGGGCATGCTATCTGTTGCTTTTCATTTAAATTTTTCTCGAAGAGAAGTGACCATTGTTTTCAGTTGTTTAGGAAAACTGTTGTTTTCTCATCAACTTTTTTTGAAAACGTTTGGTTCTGGTTATTGATCGAAATGTCATACGCATTACGAAAGAGGAACTTAGTTTTAAAATGAAAATCACAAGACACAGTATTCGACAATTTCAGGGTCATCCCTAAGATAACGAACTCAGTGGTAACTGTGAAGGTACATCCCATACTCAAAACGTTATTTCTCATTACCGTGTCGTCGTATACTATTAAATTTATATTAATTCTGAGAATTTGGTTCATCAACAATACAGTTACTCCGGTTGATAATTTTCTTTTTGTATCATTCTTTCACAGAAACCGTTAAATGGTTACAATGAGCACAAATATTAAATGCACTTATCTGAAGTTGATGTTTCCAATAGCCAACTCAGTTGCTCCAGAGTGCAAGAGTACTCTGCGATCCAGGATGGCGGCGCTTTCTTTCAACACTAGTATATATATTTCCAAACCTGGAGAAAGAAATTGAAATATCAATAAATAACACCATTTTACCTCACTCAGTCAACTGACAAATTTGCAGTCACGTTGACGATTTCATAAGTTTTCAGAAAACAGTAGTCATTTGATGTGGTTTCGCATTTGTTTAAGAAATCTTGGCGAAACCCGTATCCTCCCTCCTTCCACCCCGGAGGCCCGTCCAACAGATTGTAAAAAATTCAGCAGCAAAGCAAAACCAGCGATTGAGCTGAATCAATTTGGAAATCTAGTACATGCCTCAGAAAATTCGGACCTTAGGGGAGGTGGTTGAGGGGAAAGTTACTCGGGTGAGTAAGTGATGATGGAGAGGAGAAATAATAGTAAATTATTGCAACTAATTAAGTCCGATAGGGCTAGTACCAGACCCAAAAGAAGTCACACGGCCACAACATAATCCTCAAGAAGTTAATTTTTTCTGCACAGACAATTCCAAAATCAAGACCATTTTCGAGTCCACCTTTCCTTATTCAGCCTCCATCTGTCACAAACCGTTGCATTGTCTACTTGCAATCAGGTTTACACTTTTTATTAACCTTCTGAAAGAGTTTTCAAGAAAAGTTTGCACCCCAAACTGAAACAAGATATTACAAAATTTCTAACCCACAGGTCCTCAGCCTTCGTAAAATTCGAACCCTTGAAAGGGCCTCACCCTTTCCAGTCTCTACTGAAGTTTTAACCTGGCTATTTCGATCTCACTGTAATCACGTTCCCTTAAATATAATTTTCCGTCATTTTCTGTAATTTTCCGTCATTTAATATCGGTTATCTAGAAACCCCCTATATCTGAATATCCCTAGGGTTTTGAACTGGGCTTATTAGGAAAACCTCGTGCCAAGAAAGAAGGAAAGACCAGATTAAAAAAAAAGTCTAGTTAAAGTAAATTTAGCAACAACTGTGATTCACTTATCTGCGGTTCAGTTGAATTGTTTCCAACGAGAACAAGCCAAGCAGGATATAACAAACAGCGGCTTCACAGGAGTCCATTACTTGTCGTGTCACACTTCATTTGAATTGATAATGAACGCGTTGATCATGAAAGCAGTGCCAAAGCTGAACGTAACACTCCAATACAATTTCTTTGGATTCACCTTTGCTGGCTCTGTTCGACTAGTGCAAACAACAACAAAATCATGTTTCAGGCTCAAGCGATGAATAAACGCGATTAGACTTGAACTAATTACTTAGTATACTGAGCAACGTTGCCCGACCTCTTTCGCAATTAAAAAGAAGTTTCCCTCTACATGTGAAATAAAACGTTAAAACGACTACCAGCAATGGCAGGCGCGGAGAGGGTTTTCTGTTTTCATCGTAAGGGAGAAAGTGTGGATGGTCGTAATAAAGACAATAGAGTGTTTATGTCTCGGAACTATCGGACTGCTAGTAACCCCTTGAAAATTTGACGTAGTGCTTTTTTTCGTTTTTCCTTTTGAAGCCGAAACCAATTGGCACGTTAGCTGAGAAATGAAAGTAAGTTGGACAAAGACGCTGAAGTAAAGAGGATCAACATTTTGGCTTGGCCTGGGTAGTGTTAGCTGTTCATGAGGAAGACTTGTTAAGGCTTGCAAATTGTTACGAGGATGAAAATCGTGTTTTAATTCCTGTTTAGCCTGTTCCATTTTAGATTTTTCATTGTTGCTTCTTCTTTTCTTGCGCCTCCTAGTTTATGTTTTTAAGGTCAGGTGCAAATACGCATGAACAATGCTTCAAGGTCTTCAGGCAATGACCACGGGTGCTTACCATTTGTCAGAATAAACCGGTTGGGATGACCGTTGTGTAATGGTAAGGGTTTTTCCAAAATTAGCAAACCAACCGAACGAGATGACGCTTACCACTTGCAATTCGATTTCTCGTAATTGTTTTCGGCTGATGAGAGATTGGAAACTGGAAAATTTGCCAAATGGTAAGGAAATTTCCGCCGTTCCGTTCCGAACGGAAAAAGAGGACTGCCTCTAGAGGTAGTCTACAATTTCCGAACGGATTTTCCGGAAAAGTACTGTTCCATTTGACTTTCAACCGAAATTTCCGGATTTTTTCTGTCAAATGGTAAGCACCCCACTTCTCGCCCTTTTCCCGCCATACACACAAAGGATGATGGGTAGTATTTCCCTACCCGTCCCTCGACAGGAGAATTAGTGGCATATTTGAGATTTCATAAACAGTTTATATAGCAACCCAAGCTCATCTCCATATTATAAACTCTGTCTTTTTACGCTGCTAGCTTTGAGAACCTGAGCGAAAATATCGCTTAAGTCATGGGCTAGTTACTTTAAAAAAGAAAAAATGTTGGAAGTGGAGGATTTTTCTGAGCGTGGAGATGCTCCGGCTCTGGCTATCATTCAAGACAACGCGAGAAAGAAGGCCGTGAGGCAGGTTGTCGAAACACAAGAGGAGCTTACTCGAATTCATGAGCGCGTAACGAGAGTAAGTTAACCCACTTTTACGGGCCGTTTTTTTCTCTTTCTGTCCTTGTTGGATCCTTTCTTCTTTTTTTTTTATTTTTTGATGTCTTCCGCAGACCATAGACGCGTACGAACTAAGTGAAAAACTGTCCGGACATCAACTCGACGAGAAAGAAGTTGAACGAATCGCCGAGGATTTTATCAGGGAGCAAGCGACTTTGGAATTTGTAGACGATACGGTGAGTGAGATCGCTTCGTGTACCATGCCAGGTCACCGTAATGTAAAGAACGATTTTAGCTTTTTAATCTTTGATTACAAACCTGGCTCGAATCGTAAGCTTGCCTTCAATGCCAAGCCGTCATTTTGTTTTCTTTGTGTGTGGCCTCTTGGGAGTCAAAAGGCGTCCATAAAATTGCCCTGTCATATTTCGGTGCTCTTGTCCTTTGTTTTAGAATTAATGTTCGTGACTAGACATTCTCTGTCTTTTTGTTGTATTTTTCTAAACCGTTTAAAGGAAGAGGTTTATAATTATAATAGCTACTTCTGATCAACTGACCTTCGCGGCCCGGTTCGAGATATTTGAGTATGATCTTCGAAAGAGTTCATGAATAGACAGAGTTCGAAAATTATGTACATCAGTTCTGTTGTTTTGATCAATTTTGGTCGTCTTTCCGGCCTTATTTTTCCTGATATTTTGAAAACTATTTATATGTTGGTTTTCCTGTTATGCCAAGGCCCTTGTAGAAACTATCTTGAACTCGTATATAAAAAAGGCTTTAGCGTGGACCATGTAAGCTTACAACAAAGACCTGTTGAGAAAGACCGGTATGAAAAGCATTGAAGAGTAACCAGGGAAGAAAATGTCACGGAAGTACAAAATATATGTTTGGTCATCGAGGGGTACTCAGATATAATCGGTCATCACTTAAAGTGCAAATGCTCATTTTAAATCATTCTATATCTTTAGCTCTGTGTAAGTGTGTTACTGAAATTTATTTTGTTGGGGTGTACTATACTCGTTGAATCTTATACATCTTTGTAATCAAGATTTTCAAGAGTATTTTGGGGGTTTATATACCTTATACTTTCGGTTGGGTTAGGAGTGGGGGTGTGAAAGTGCTTTTTCATGTGCACCTGCTCTCTCCATTTTTCCTGAGCCTTTATTATCCCTGGGCTTCAGAGACAGTCAGACACCAAT